TGCCTCCAAGACTCTGTGCTGTGTTTTCTCCTGAAAAGTTGTATGGTCTTAGCTCTTAGGGTCATTCAGATTTATACTTAGGCCCGTGATCTTGCTCGTATCGACGTCGGTGTCCGTGTGAGGTCGGGGTGCGAGTGCATTTGCTTTTGCAAGTTGACATCCTACTGCACAGCACCATTTGTTGGAAAGTTCGTCCTTTCCTTGTTGGATTACCTTGGCGTCTTCGCTAAGTAAAACGGACAGTGCAGGCGTGAGTCACCTCTGGACCCTCCTCGCTGTTCCGTGGGTCTCTGGGCTTCTCCTCCATCAATAGCAGATGGTCTCAGTTACCGTAGCTTGTGGTAAGTCTGGGAATCAGGCTGTATGAATCCTCCAATTGTGATCTTTTTTTTAAAATTGGTTTTGGCTCTTTGAAGAGCTTTGCATTTCCATAGAAATTTTAGGATCTTGTTAATTTTTACAAAAAAGTCAGCTTGGCTTTTGATTGGGACTGTGATGCAACAAAAGATTTGGAGAACTGAGATCTTCACAGTATTGAGTCTTTTCATGAATATACTGTCGCTTTCCATTTACTGAGGTCATCAGTTCCTCTCGGCAGTCTTTTATAATCTTCGTTGCTAAAGAAGCTGTGCAGGTTGTTAAACGTATCCTTAAGTACTTCACGTTTTTGTATTTGGCTGAAAATGATTATTGTTGAAGTCTTCAGCAATACAAATGATACTTGTTTGATCTTGTATCGTGACCTTGCTAAGCTCCCTTACTCTAGCGTCTTTTTCGTAGATTCCTTAGCACACAATCACGTCATCGGCTAAAGAGACACTTTTCTTCCTTCTTTTCCGATTGATGTGCCTTTTATTTACTTTGTTGGCCTAATCACACCGGCTGCAGTCTCCGGTACGATGCCGAATAGAGACGGTGGGAGCGGACACCTCTGCTTTGTTCCCGGTCTCGGCGGGGAAGCATTCGGTGTGTCACCCATACGTTAGCTGCAAGTTTTTTGTGATCTTTCTTAGGTTAAGGGCGTTCCCTTCCATTCCTGGTTTTCTGAGAGTTATAATCACGAGTGGGTGTTGAATTCTGCAAACTGACTTTTTCTCTAGTGTGTAACCATATTTTGTTTTTACTGTTAATATGGCGGGGTACATCGATTGGTTTCATTTTTTTTTTTTTTTAATTTCTTTGGAGAGAGAGGCAGAGAGAGGCTCCGTGCTGATGCGGGGCCTGATCCCACGAGCTGTGAGACCATGACCTGAGAAACCGAGAGTCGGGTGCTTAAGCGGCTGAGCCCCCCGGGTGCCCCCTCAGTTGGTTTCAAATGTTAAACCCACCTTGCTTTCTGGACAGACTTTGTCATGCTGTGTTACGCTGCCACAGTCCCTCTGTGTCTGTGTTCACAAGGGATATTGGCCTGTAGTTTTATTTTCTTGTAACGTGTTTGGTCTCAGTACTGGGGCAGCGCTGGCCTCATTAAGTGACTCGGAAGGTGTTTCCTCGTATTTTCTGAAAGAATCTTTCTGTGATACTGTTTTTTCCTTTAATGTTAGAATTCACCATTGGAACCATCTGGACGTTGAATTCTCTTTGTGGAAAGATGTCGTCGTCGTTGTTAGAAGTGATGTCTGTCTTTTGCGTAGGGCTCTTAGATGTTTGCACCTTCTCGAGTCCATTTTGTTAGCAGCTTCTGTCTTTCAAGGAACTGTGTACATTTTGTCAAGGTTTTCAAATTTGTTGACGGTTTTCACGCTGTCTTTCTCGAGTGTCAACTCTGTGGTGGTACAGTTCACATGTGATAAACCGCATCAGTTTCAAGTGAAGGGCCGAGTGAATTCTGACAGATAAACTGACACCACTGAAACGACGACCATTCCGATGAAGACACAGAACGTTCCACCACCCCCGAAAGGCTTCTTCGCACCTCACTGTCTTCGCGGCTCCGGACACCTACCGATCTGCCGGGTGCCCTAGAGCCGTTGTGGTTTTTAGAATTTCGTGTAAACGGAAGGCACCTTATGCACGGTCTCCTGTTCACTCAGCAGCAGGATTCGGAGGTGCACCCCTGCTGCTGCGTGTCAGGAGTTGATTCCTTTCACCGCCAAGCAGTATTCCATTGTTGGGTTTAGACGTTTGTGCTGTTTCCGGGCGTTGGCCGCTGTGAACCTCTGTGCACAGATCCGTGTGTGACACACCCTTTCGTTTCTCTCGAGTAAATACCTAGGAGTGAAACGGGTAGGTAGTAGCGGTGTACGTTTGACTTGTAGAGAAAGTGCCGAGTTGGCTTCCTAAGTGGCTGTCGCTTTACATTCGTGTCAGCCGAGTGAGAGTTCCACAAGCTCGCCAGCCCTCGGCATCGTCACTCGTTGTGGTTTTAGTCATTCTAATGGGTACGTCGTGCAGTCGCATTGTGGTTTTAGCTTGCATTTCCCTAGTGTCTCAAAACGTTGAGCATCTCTTTATGTGCTTATTGGCCATTTTGTGAACTGTGTGTTCAAATCTTTTGGCCATTTAAAAATTTGAACTAATTTTCGATCACAAGAGAATTTTGTAAGTATATGCTGGACGCAAGTCCTCTGTCGGCTGGTTTCTCTCGTTCTGTGGATTTCCTTTTATTTTTTTGACAATGTTTTTTGAAGAGCATTTTTAATTTTGATAATCAAGTCCAGCATATTAACTTTTTTATGGTTCATACTTTTTGTCTCTTATCTAAGAAATATTTGCTTTACCCAAGTTCCAAAAACATTAAAAAAAATTTTTTTTGGGGCGCCAGGGTGGCACAGTCGGTTAAGCGTCCGACTTCAGCCAGGTCACAATCTCGCGGTCCGTGAGTTCGAGCCCCGCGTCAGGCTCTGA